GACGTAGTCTAAAGTCAAAGACCATAATTACTTTTTATGATTTTTTTGCAAGCTCTATTTCTGTTTCCTTGCAATTAAGGATAACCCTGTGCTTGTTTGCAGCTAGTTCTCTTAAGGAAAGCAGTGGGAGCTGGGGCAGATGAGCTGTAACCTTCAATTGCAGCCTTCAAAGGAACAGGGAAGCTTCTAACAAGAGGGATGGAAGTCCCAGGTGGCTGATGAGAGGAATGGCAGGTTGGGGAGGTGGGAGTACGAGTGTCCGTAGAGTTCTTGAGTTCTGGGATACTGCTTTTCCTACATGTCTAGGCTTCATTAGGAGTCATTCTAGATTGATTTCAGTTGGGGAATGCTGCCATCACTTACTCTGAAACAATAAAATGCTTTAAAAACATAAATACTTGTATAGTATTGATGTCTCCACCATTCAGCTACCCTCCGGAAATATCTCCAATTTGTCATGCAAGACTTGAAGAAAATTCCAGGGAGAGACAGGCTTTGTGAGAGCTTTTCCTATTTTAATGAGCCCCATGGTGTATTTGGTGCTAAATTCATGAACCTCAGTTACTGGAAGAAGAATGAACAGAAGCACTAAGTTCTGTAGAGCTTTAATAGGTCCCACTGATAAACATTAACAACAAAGGGTCTCCAGGGGCTGATTAGAGCAGAACATTGTTATCATTGATAACAGGGAGACAGGGGAAACATATAGCTGGCTCTGATGCCACATTAACCCTTGATGTGTTTTATGAGGCAAAATTTCCAAGCTTGGCCACAGTTTCTGGGAAGGGAGATCTTTTCACCACATGTTTACCAGACCTTCTTGGGGATATTGTGTGGAGTGAGGTGTTCAAWGCTCAGTGTAGGACAATGATATGATACGTTTCCGGTGTCTGTGTTGGTAGCAGAGACAACAACCATACCAAGAGGATACACACCCCCTCTAGTGTCTTTGAGCCCTGGCAGGGACTTTGTTTCCAGCAGAGCCTGTCCTATGCTGCTTCATACCTGCAGCTGTGCCCATGCATCGTGTAGACACCCAACCTACTTCCCCATTTTGCCCTCACATGGGATCTCCTTCCCTTCACTGTTGTCTCTCCATCCTCACTGCCTGTTGCCTGACACACAAAGCCATGGGATGATCCTTGACTCCTCCTGGGTGGCCTGTGCACTACAGCACCAGCCTTCAAGTGTCATTCCTTCATCCTAATGTCCAATCTGAAATTCCCATGCTGGGGATTTTTCGTGCTGTTTGATGTTTTCATACTATTTCCCACTACCAAGGGGAGCTCCTGGCTGTTATGAGGGATGCCATATGAAGCAATGATGCATGCTCATGTGAGTAAGGCCAGATGCCTACAGGGCTTCATTAGTAGTAAAATGGTTACTGAAAGAGAGAGAGCTTTTTGATGAGCAACTTATCCTGAAGGCAATGGTAGGAGTAATTTTCAGAGTAGCAGGTATGAAAACCAAGGATTCCTAGGGTGTTGGCCCACTAAGCCCTTCTGAAGGGCCTGAGTTTCCTGTTGTATTGCTCTTGAATATTCTAGAAACAAGGACATTTGCTGGAGATACCATGACATCTTGCATCTGACATGTTGGCCTGTTTTCCTTGTGTGGTCTGAAGTATCTGCACTGAATTATACAAGCTCTTTGCAATGTCTGCAATTGCACAGCTCTAGGCTTCTGAGTGGAGCTCTAGGGAGTAGTAGGCACTGAGATGTCCGTGTGCCAAGAAGACCTGCCTGATGCCCTAGGTGGACATGTGTCTTCCAATTGCTCTGCCAGAGCAAGGAGGCAGTTGCACATGTCTTGGACCACCTCTGTTCCTTTTAAAGTCCAAAGGACTGAGTTGGCGTGTCCCTCCCCCATCTCCACTAACTACAGTGGGAGCTCAGAGAAGAAGCTCCCATGCAGGCAGCCATTTTGTGCACCCCAAAATTGGTCCAAGGGAATCCTGCTCTGAGTTTGTGGAGTGCAAACAGGAGCAAACTGAAGGTCACTGAATCCCAGGAGTGTGAGGTGACACCCTGGCTGTTTACAGGGAGCGGAGCTCTCCTAATGGACACAGGACCCCTGGTCCCACCCCATCTGTACTCCTCTGGCCTGACTCTGTGCCCTTGAGCTCCTTTGGTGTCAATGCTAGAAGAGACACTGCAAAGGGAAATTCTCATTGCCCCGGGGGCATCCACAGGAGTTCAGAGCAGTGGGCTCTTCTGTTAACTCCTTTCTATTGGAGAAGGAGGAAGAAGCCTGGCTTCAACGTGGTTGCAGCTCCTGTTCCTCCTGCTGTAGATGAGGATGTTCACTGTTGGAGGCCACCAACACACTTGAATGCAGGCTGTTGGGAGTTTCCCTAAAGGCAGTGGTGGGATTCAGCTGCCTAATCACAGGCAGGAAAACCTGAGAGAAACTAGGGTCTTTGCCCATCCAAAAAGGCAGAGTTTTCCTATCGATCGCTCCCTTGCAGTTGTGCTGGAAACTCCAGGCATCTGACCTAGTCCTGCTTCAGTGTCAGAATCAAGTGCCTGCAATGAACTATGTTCCAATTTGCACTCTCACCAGCTCCATGTGTCCCAGCTTCTCTGTGAGTGGAGCTCTGCCAGTAGTGGGCACCTAGTGCCATTTGAGATAACCAAGGATGTTCCCCACCTGGCCCCCATCTGATGCTCTAGAAGCATTTGGGTATCACACGTGCTCCATCAGAACAATAGACACTACCTCATGCCTTGGACCACTTCTGTCCAAGGGTCACCAGGTAACAGACTCCCACCCTCCAGCTGAGATGGCTACAGCATGTGCTTAGACAACAAATGCCCATGCAGATATTGCTGTAGTTCAAGGTTCAGCTTTGGGTAAGGGGAATCTTGTGACCACCATGTTTGTGGAGTTCCAGGAAAGGAACTGAATCCTTCTGCAGTCCATGTGCGTCTAAATCAACATAAGATGCCCAGATTGACTCATCTGAACCAAGATCTAAAACATGGTTAAGTGAGCTATGTCCTTGTCCTGATCTTGGTGTCCTGACTAGGTGAGAGATGTGAATCAGGTCTTCTACAGAGAGACATTTCCAAATTTCCTAGT